CTAGATGATTTGTGGGTTCATCAAGTAATAGAAGTGTTGGCTGAACAAAAAGAGCCCGAGCCAATGAAATTCTCATCCTCCATCCACCACTAAATGAACGGGTGGGTCGTGCTTGCATATCCTTGGTAAAACCTAGTCCAGCAAGAATTTTGGAAGCTTGAGCCTCAGCTGCATCTGATCCTATGAGCTGCAGCCTTTCATACAACTCAGCAAGCCTCTCTCCTGCATCATCCTCCTCATCATTTTCATTTTTACCACCATCAGAATTCTGCAAATCGGCAACTTCTTGTCGAAGCTTGACCAGCTCCTCATTAGCAGAAACAACTGCTTGAAGTGCAGTTTTATCATCACCAACCACCTCTTGTTCAACTAAGAGAACATCGATATTTTTAGGAACTGGTATCTTCCTCCAAGCAAGGAGCTTTAATAGTGTAGACTTTCCCATACCATTAGGCCCAACTAAACCATACCTCTTCCCGTGAGATATCTTCACTGATGCATTTTTTAAAAGCTCTTTACCTCTAGCTGAAACAGAGAAATTCTCAATTGTAACGTCTTTGACATTTGCATCAGCTTCATCATTTCCATCAAGAACTGAAGCTCGGCTACCAATTACAACAGTGAAAGCATCATGGTCATCTTTTAGAGCTTCCTGTCTGGCCAGTTCTGCTGCATGGACAGCAAACATGTCTTTCCTCTCTCGCCTTTTCAACTCTTTGTCACTTACAGCAACCTCCAGAGGCTTCACCTCAGCTCTATCCTGCCAGGGTAGCCGTTTCTGGGAACTGGAACTCTGTTTCTCTTCATCAGGCACAATTTCTTCTTCCTCATCATCTGAGGGAGGGAGATCAATGCCATCAGTGTAAGATGCAATCTTCTTTGGAGCTTTGGCTTGAGGTTTAGCACCACTACTCGAAGATGAAGATCCCTTTCTTGGTTTATCTGGTTTCTGATCCATATTAGCAAGCATTTCTGACACTGAAAGCTTCTCTCTCTTCCCAGAAACATCTTTACCAGGTTTGACTTTGGTGTTTCCACCAGCTTCTTCTATTTTCTTTCTTCCCATTGCACCAATCAACCTGATTATAGGAAAAAATAAAATTATCAAACATAAACACAAAAACCATCCACATGAGTTATTTCACATCTAATAATAGCCATTGCCATTCTATTTCTGCAACATACGGATCGGACAAAAAGTGAAATCGTTTTAAAATTTAAGAACCCAAAGATGTGGTACATACATACTACCATGTCAAATTTTCCAAGGAAAAAAAATTGTCATGATCAGCACACGAAAGACAAGTAAAACACAGGTACAGTTTTAGAAAGGAACTTGACATTTAGACAATCAAAACTTACAAAAATCTAGAGCATCAAATGACAACTGTATATATCGAAGGATAAAGAGTTCAATACAAACAAAGAAACTAATTAAATTACATATAGTACAAGAAAATATTAGGAGAATATGACCAGAATTATCAGACCTTTGATTACTGAAGGACTATAGCCTCCAACATATAGAATATGACCAGAATTATCAGACCTTTGATTACTGAAGAACTATAGCCTCCAACATATACTCTTAAAAATTATAACAGAAAATTGATGCCTTACGAATTGACAAGACATCATTCACCACAATATAATATATTTCCTTACTTTTGCCCAACCAGAGTTCTTTTTAAATCATAAATTCAACACATTATATGCGCCCAATTTCCTGTTCATGCAAATGAAACTTAAAAGTTCATTTCAAATTCATGCTTGAACAACTAAGACCCCTTTGGTAACTTTATTTTTTTAATTAAGCTTATAAACGCTACTTCAACCTATGAGTTTCTTTGTTTTGTTATCTACTTTCACTTTCAAAAAGTATTTCAAAATCCAAGCCAAGTTTTAAAACCTAAAAAACAAGTGTTTAGAAACTGTTTTTGTTTTTAGAATTTGACTAAGAATTCTACGTTTTGTTTTTTAAGAAAGAAAGGGAAAAACCATAAAAATAATTTGGCAAGAAACAAGAATGAAATTCAAGAACAGGATACCAAAAAACAAAATGGCTATCAAACTGGCATCTAAAATATTAAGAGGAAACTAAATAACATAACTATTCAAATTACAGAATTAATTGTTCGCATGAAAGAATCCAAACCATAACATAAACCAGAACAGAAAATTGCCGATTTAACAACAAAGCACATTGGCTTTAGAAACACAAGCATAATCGAAAAGGCACAGATACAAGTTGTCAAAATTAAATAATCCTAAACATGAATAATTTTGTCCGTAAGTTTAATTCTCAAAGAAACAAACCACAAACGAAAATGAACTTGGAACTGTCATGAGTCAAGCCTCAATAGCCAGTAGCCACCAACTAATACTTACAGTCAAGTGTAATAATCAAAAGTCAAGAAAATCAAGAAAAAATAAACAGAGCGGTTCGGACGAGATAAAATATAAAACAGTGGAGGGGAACGGACATCACCACAGGATAAATCAATCGAAAAACAAGCAGCATAACGAAGAATAGAATTTGATATTCAGTACGATTTGAAATCTAGCTTAGAATAATTCAATTCAAGATTGACCTAATTCCAAATCTATCCTATTTTGAAGTTGATTGAATAAGAAAAAAAAACACTTGATCCGAGCAAACCTCGACGGCGAGCCACAGAGAGACGGAAGGGATACGGTGGCGGCGCGAGGTCGGGCACCGTGAAGAGGAAAGAAAACGTAGCGTCTGCTGGCGGCGGTTGGAAATGGAGAAATCAGAGATAGAAAGGGTCGGAGAATCTTGAAGAAAGATGAACCAGTGGGCTTAGGCTTTACAGTTATTTTTTCCTTTTATAGACTTTTCCTTGCAGATTCCTTTCTTTAAAATATATTTTTTATTTTATTTTTACAAATATGTTTAAATAAAATATATTAAAACTACGATAATAATACTAATATACTAAAATCATTTCTATCTATATTAACATAATAAATTATTTATTTAAACTATTAATTAATATTTTGTAAAATATATTAATTAATTAACTAATAATAAGAAGTACGAGCTTCGTGCCCGGCTTTCCTTCGACTTAAGAAGACAGTGGTGAGAATGAGAATCACTTTGAAACTCATTGAGAATGATATTTTTAGGGTTTAAAAGCTCTCCAACGTGTTGCGGATCCATCGGCCGTGAGAGGGTCTTTTAGCTGCCGTATGAAGCTTAGCTTGCTTTAGCAGCCACGTGATGATTAGACGTTCGTGGTAGGCGTAGGAACTGGGCGAAGTGGTAGCCAAGTTCTAGTGGTGATGTAAGTGCGCGGTGAGCGTAGTAGCCTCCGTCTGTAGAAGTGTTGATTCGACATTCATGATAAGCGTAGGAGCTGGACGAAGCGGTAGTCAAGCTCTGGTGGTGATGCAAGTGTGCAGTCAGCGTAGTAGCCCCATTTATAGAAGTGTTTAATTTTTTATAATTATAATTAAGAATTTTAATTATAAATATTATTTGTTTATATCAACTTTCTGTTCATATGTTTATAATTGACCCTAAGTAATTAATTAATTAATGATTTATATTTTACACATATGGAAAAAGAAATAGAGAGAATTAATTATATAAAATAAAGACAAATATTATTTATTGTCTCTTCACATGCAGCACATGTAGTTTATGCTATATTTATAAATTAATAATAAATATTTATATCATTGTTATATTAGACATTTTTAAAATTTAAAAATATATTAAATGCAAAAATAAAATAAGAGAGATCAAATACACATTATACAATTTAATCTATATATTTTATTACCTCTACTTCCATGTTTCTTTCTTTAAAAAATTTGGAAAAAAAGAAGACGATGGACACCGTACTAATAGTAAATAAATTTCCAAATGTTATTCATAGAGGATCCATCGGGAGTTCCTCTTACTTGAGCCATAGACTTTGGGATAGAACTTGAACCAAGGACTAGACCCATCTCTAAAGCATCATACTGCATGACGCCAGCAGAATTAAAGGAACTTAAAGTATAGTAAAAAAATCTACTAGATAAAGGTTTCATCCGACCCAGTATATTCTCTTGGGGTGCATCATTGTTGTTTGTGAAAAAAAACGGATGACTCAATGCACCTCTGTATTGATTAGAGGGAGTTAAACAAGAGAACAATAAACAACAAGTGCTCACTCTCTCACATCGAAGATTTGTTCGACCAGTTCTAAGAGACGACGGTATTTTACAAGATAGATCTTAGATCAAGCTATTACCAGATTAAGATCAGAGAAGGGGATGTACCAAAGACAGTCTTTCGAACAAGGTATGGCCACTACGAATTTGCAGTGATGTCATTTGGCCTCACTAATGTCCCAGCTGTGTTCATTGAGTTAATGAATAGGTCCGAACAGTCCTAACCATCTTGAAGGATAACAAATTGTACGCCAAGTTTTCCAAATGCAAATTTTAGTTGTGACAAGTCTCGTTCTTGAGAGACATGGTATCAAAAGATGGAATTTCAGTAGACCTCACTAAGATAGAAGCTGTCACTAAGTGGAAACGCCCAACTACAATTATAGAGTTATGGGGTTAGCAGGATATTACCGAAGGTTTGTGCAAGGCTTCCCTAGAACAATCTTACCACTTACACAGTTGACAAGAAATGACGTACCCTTTGTATGGAACAATACATGTGAGGCCAACTTCCAAGAAGGGACTAGGGTGCGTATTGATGCGACAGAAGTAAGGTTGTTGTATCCGCGTCCTATCAATTGAAAGAATATGAGAACTATCCCACGCATCATATCCCATACATGACCTAGAATTAGCCTGAGTAGTGTTTGCATTAAAGATTTGGCGACACTACCTATATAGAGAAAATACTCAAATCTACACCGACCACACCTAGCCAAAACTGAAAACCTAACACAAAATCCATATCCATCTATCACTAACAATAAACTAACGATAGAACTAAAGTAGTTAAAAGAAACATAATTGTTTAGTTGATATGACAATCAAATCAAATTTCATTTCAAATATAAACTATCTCAGTCTCGTAGTTGCCACCCGCCTATTATAGGCTCATAAAGCTTATTTCAAAGTTGCTCTTGAAAAGACAATTTCAGCCAAATAAAAAAACTAGGGTGGACTCTGCTAAATGATGGCATCAATTATTCCACGGCATTGCAAAATGAAAAAGAGCTAAGAAAACAGCCTCCTAAGTACATAAATCTTTAGCTCTAAATTGAGACATTATTCAAATTTTCAAAACTTGGGAGGAAAAGAAAAATGATGCTTAGTTCTAGTGAAGAACTTTGAGGAAGAATCAGAACATGAACAGCATCTCTGGTGCGTATCCAAGAGCTTCAAGATGAGCAGCCATAGCCTTGTTCATTGGTGGTGGCCCACATCTTAAAATCTGCTTATAAAACAGGGTTACATATGAGGTAAAGCTCATACAACACTTTGTAATGATTTAGTGGTTTAAAATTTCGATCAAAATATAGACACGTAAATGAATCTAATGAACCTACTCCAATCCAACAATTTCTGGCACACGAGATCACTCTTCGTTAGCTTTAAAAAGTAGGTTATTCGTAGAAACATCGAGCGAAAGCACTTTTGACAAAGGAAATTGTTCACAAACATGTTTTTGAGAACCAATCTGAAGCATCCTTGTCATTTAAAACTAATGAGTTGGTAATCAAACATACCCGAACATCAGAAGCAGGAGCAGGGCAATGGGTTTGAATCATCTCCTTCGTCACGAATCCAACACCGCCGTCCCACGATTCAGGAGGCTGGGTAAGCAATGGATATACAAATGGTTGATCAAAAGATATGGTAGAGATAAGTATAAATTTGGCGTTGTGGCTGAAGGAGAAGACTGACCTGGTTTAAAACATAATAGAGCTTGAAGATATCTGGGTACCTTGAGGCAAGAAGATCCAACTCCTCCTACAACCACACAAGTTACTTTTGGTAAGAAACAGTTCTGAAATTGGAGAAAGAGGTATCATAGAAACAGGATTATTGTTATAAAAGCAAAAGTGAAGCCCAAGAGGCAGCTACAAAAATATTAAGATCCTACACGTTTTTCTTATCTATATAAAATGATGAACAACTGGCCTTTTTAGTTGAGGACAGTCGAGCTATGACAAGGACAGAGGATTATATGACTTAACTAGTTAAGCTATGTTCGCTATGTTCATGTTGGCAAAAGAACTCCACACAAGTGTTAAACTAAGGAGTTCGAACATTAGATGTACTGAAAACATTCCAATCAAATCACTATGCCGTTGAAATTCATAGCGCGCTGAGAAAGGAGTAGATTCATTACAATATCACTGAGACAGTGTGGAAAATAAGCCTCGGTCGCACTGGTTGGCATGGCTTATCTCTCTCCATGAAAGTAAAAGTTAATAAAAAGATGTACAGGTATCCACATTTTGGTCAAATTGAAGACAAAAGGGAACTCCATTGAAGAAGATATGGCAAAATTACCTTCAAAAGAATGTCCTCGTAGGTGACGTTGGCATAAATGAGATGTACCTTCGTCTTGTCATTTGGATTTTCTAATATGGCTCGAGCAACCTAAGGAGAGCAACGAAAGCATGAATATCCATACAACGATCAAAGCAATCCAAATGATAGTATGTTGAGGAACAAAAATGAGCAAGCCAAAAGTAAAGGAAATATGTACTTGATACATAGGAGTAATGCCAGAGCCTCCAGCGAGCATCCCAAATGCTCTGACCTCGCCTGGTTGATACCTGAATCGCCCCTGCAGTAATATTTACATTGTAAATTTTGAATATTCTCAGCGTTTTCAAAGGTACTATGCAGTTATTTGTTTCTCTCTGCGACAAATAAAATGTTTCCATTAAATTCTCGAAATAGAGCGTGGGAGGAAAAGTCCATGGCCAACGCTAAGAAAGCTGAATGCTAGACAGACAGATAGATAACATAAACCAGGGCAGTAGATACAGGAGATTAATTTCCATACCAACTTGAACTTGAACATTGAAGGCCACGAGTTTTAATACTGTTCTCTGTTTAATAAAATTACACCTATTTACTAAAATCTTTCTTCGTTTTCTAGTTTACTGTCAAAATTGTTTCAAAATCACTGATCAAGAGAAGGCTTCCAACATAAATTGAGTCACAGTATTAATTCAAAAGAGAATTATAAAAAACGAAAACATGAATTGATTTAGACATACAGAAAATAACATCAGAGATCAAATATGTGAAGAACGTGTATGAGACAAGTTTGGACAAAGAAAAATGCCAGTCATTTGTCAATGGATAAAATGTTAAGAACCCCAAAAAACATAGATACCTAAAAGCATAAGAAATGATAACTTAAATAGCTGCCATTAATTGATCGACACATACCTTGGGCCCTTTCACAGACAGAAAATCACCGACACGCATCTGTCGGAAATGGTGTGACATCCTTCCTTGGGGATACATCTGATTAAACACAAAAGAGTTAGGATTAAGAATAACATGCATGTGAAACATTTAAAAAAAAAAAAAAAAACACAAAGATACGTACCTTTATGACTAATTCAAAATATCCGACATCAGAATCCAAAGTAATAGGTGTATAAGGTTTGATAACATCTTCACCTTGACCATCCTTGCCCCTGTAGGATGGATGAATTATAGTTTCTCAGGAGAAATAAATCCTTTTTGTCATATGAAACAGAATCATCTTAAAAAACAACACCAGGTGAATAGGGCAATAAGGCATTCATCCCCATTCAAACCGAAGGGAGATTAAGAAAAACATTTCTGTTAGCTTGTTTCAGATGATGCAAATTATTAGAAAAGTGTTTTGAACACAATTAAGCAGCTAAAAGAAACACATGATACTCCACCTAAACAACGTTCTTAGAGATTACTCCCAAACAATAACAAATAAATAAACAAGTACTTTAAGGACTACAGAGTCAACACGAGAGAGTATAGTATCGAGATTCGAACTAATCCTATGACAAATGAATAAGGATAAACTACTAGACCTGCAACTTATATGTTGTCCAATGGGAAGGCCCAAAACTGAAGTAGAACTTGGGAGTGTAAATGTAAACTTCGCCACATTATGGCTCAGCTGCGCACGCTTGATGAGTTTAAACTCCTTGAAATTCTCTGGATCCAAGCAACCTGAATGCACGAACCAATTGTAAGGAAAAAAACGTACGAAAATGAATCGAATAAAACACCAATGACAGACGATGTTCTAATGTATCATCACAATGAAACCTTCCATATGCGCAAGAATCCACTGAAAATGTTGAGTGAAAAATCCATTTGTCCACATATTACTGCATTAGTACTTCATATTATCAAAGGGAGTAGGAACTCGCATGGTTATGGAAGTGTTCCCTGAAATTTCCTTCACTAGTACCAATTCAAACAGATCATACGCTTAATTTGAACAGAAATGTCCATTACAGAGTAACTATAGTAACATTCAGACTCCAGACGTCCACATATCCACAAAGTAACAAGAACTTCAAACTGCACTCTCAAAATTTCATCAAAATGGCACGAATAAAAACACAGTAGATCCTAGAAACTGCTTACAACATTCAGGTAAAGTAGATTTCAACCGCAAATCATGAATCCAAAACACTAAACAAGGAAATCCAAACACTGGAAATTAAATAATAATAATAATAATAATAAATGAACTGAGATTCAAGAGCAGCTAACCTCCGGATTTGGTTTTCTTGGACGAGGATAACAAATAGAGAGCACCAAAGGCAAGAGCTAAAACAGCCACAGCCAAACCCAGAAGGATTTGAGGATCCAAAGACTGTAATAAGTCCATTACACGATTTTTCACAGACAAAAACCTTGAGAAAAATCAAATGGAGTTGTGATTCACCTAACTTTTTCCGTTCCACAGCTCCAGAGCCCACTTTCACCGAATGCAGCAGCAGCCACCGGAGAAAAATGAAACGAACGAGTTAGGTGGAGATTGATGAAAGTATTTGGAGGCTTTTTAAGTAAGCATATAAAATTCATCTCGATTTTTTTAGAAATTATGTTTATTATATCATAATATTATTATTAAATTTACTACGATTTTTTTAATAAAAAAATTATATTATAAAATAGAAATTTCATTAAAAAAAATTTCAAATAAATATTATATATAAATGAGAAAATCATAGCGAGGGTGAGCGGTTTGAGATAAGTGTCTCGAACAATTTTTTTTAAATGGAGTTTTCAAGGACAGTATCAAACGACACAGGTGTGCCGGTATTGCGCCTCCGACCCATGTGTCAGAGGATAGACTATGCACCTGCTATTCCAAACAGATGTCGTACATGGTCTAGCATGAATACAGAAGAGTCCAATGTCCGATGAAAATTCAGATGGATAGATGTTCGAGATGCCTTAATGGAACAGTCGACACATGTGTGTATCATAGCGAGAGCGAGCGGTCTGAGATAAGTGTCTCGAACAATTTTTCTTAAATGAGATTTTCAAGAGCAATATCGAGCGACACAGGTGTGTCGGTATTGCGCCTCCGACCCATGTGTCAGAAGATACACTATGTATCTACTATTCAGCTAGATAGATGTTCGAGATGTCTTAATAAAACACGTGAATGTATCTGAACAAGCCAAGATAGCAAAACTGTCCCTCGATATGGGAAGAGTTTTTTTTTTAAAGAAAGTAACCAAAATTTTTTTCCCTTCATTAATTATGTTTATGGGGGAGGTGAGGAAACCTATGCAGGGGAATTAATCTCTACAACGCAGCCCATGGTATTTCTATCAATACCATTTGCGGGCTTCTAATTTAATTTTTTTAATTTAATTTTTAATTTTTAAATAATTTAAATTACAAATTTGATTTAAGAAAATCTATAATTTTATTAATCATCAAAATTAAAACAAATTTACAATTTCCCTGATATTAAATTATTAAATGTATATTAAATGTAATTTTTTTAAAAAATAAATTTTATGCATGAGTGAAACATGCTCATTTTATACCTCGTAATGTAAATTTACGATTATCTCCTTGTCTTGCTAAATGTCGAACGAAAAGATACTAAAAAATGAGTAAAAAGAAAAGCGAACTTCAAAGAGTAGAGCTAGGTTAGCACCAAGAGCATTTAGTGATGCCGACTTAGGGCAATCAAGTAAGTGGACTTACTATTGGTATACCTTCGAGCTTGGTTGGATGACTTGAGTGATGTATGAATGACACACACCTTGTGCCTATTTACGTGTCATTTTTCTTTTTTCATGATATGTTATGTTATGATTATGTGATGTTACTATGATTATATCATGTATGTTATGACTATGAGACGTTGTTGAGCTTTGTGTGATAATAATGAAAGTAATGTCATGTATATGTACGTACGTCTCGTAGGGAAGTTAAATCATGCAAATAATGAAAATATGAAGCATGTACTGCATTTTCTTGAACCTCATGCATGTTGTATATCAAGCATGTAATACTTTTTCAATATTTTTTGTATGAACACGTATCCATAATATGATATGCGCTCATTTCCTTCTATTGGTTTTCGATAATGTGAACGTGCTCTACCCCATAGTTAGGCCTAAGGGGTACGTATACGAGCCTATTGGTGGGTTTATGATGCGTGCGTGAACATTGTGTAGAAAAATACTACACACTCAACCCTGCTCGAAAGACAAAGTAGAGCCTAAGGAATAATCATGAAAAGATAGGACAATTACATTTCTTTTAAACTTTGACGAGACGGGTTATTTTTCTTGTTTTCAGTTATACTAATGCAATCTTAAAGTTTGCATAGATTTTGTGAACGTTTTAGTCCATGTTTTTTTATCTTTCCTTGAGCCAATTTTAGGGTATGTTATGATAACAAGGGTCGATTAGGTCTATGTAGGGATAGTTAGCGTGCAATCTTTAATTGTGAACTTGGCATATAGGAATGCAACGTTACCCACTTAGTAAACACGTTACGTAAATACAAATTAATAATATGTTGTACAATAAATTAATGATCATTGAAAATTTACAAAATTTACTTGATAATTTACGGTTTAATCTAATTAAACTAACTTAAGTAAACACGTTATTATTTATTTTGATTTAAGATCGAAGTTATATTAAATATTATAAATTCTTTATAATAGTTTCGTACTAAGGCATGATATATTTTATTATATAATAATTATAAAATTTTATTCAACTAAAAAACATAACAACATTTATTAAATACATTATTTTTTCTTTTCTTTTAAAAAATAAAAATACTTATCAAATATATTCTAAATCATGGGATAAAATTTATATAAAATTTGTTTTTTTCCTAATTAAACATAAAATAATTATTGCGAAAAAAAAAAAAAAAAAGAAGGAGCGCAGCCAGTTGGGCAGTTGTGCGAGGCAGTGTCAGAGGAGACAACAATGGCGAACCCTAGGAGGGCTTCCATTTCATTATCTTCTTCAAGCAATCCCCAAAGCTTGGAGAGTCCATTTCACAGTCAATCCCAAGGCCAAAGCCTTTCGCTATCCTTTGAATCGTTATCGTTTCTGAAGAATTTTCTGAAGAAGCCTCACGCCTTCCCTTTCCTGCTCTCTGTTTTCCTCTTACTCACATGGATTTCTCTCAGAATCCAGCACTCTTCTTCTCGCTTCTCATTCCCCGATTTCTCTCGCTTTCAACACACTCCTGATACTTGGAGCGAGGACGATGATTTCAAGGCCAACCTCGTTCGTTTCAAGCCTAGATTTCCTTCTCGGATTGCTAAAGACAACAGGGGCTGGCTACTCGATCCTATTTCTCTTGCGCTTGATTCTGGCGTTCTTGGTACTCCAATCGCCTTTGTTTTTGGTTTGAATTCATTTATATTCCGTTTAGTTTGCGCTGAATTCTGCTTTTGGATGTCTACTTAGCGTATAAGTTATGTGAGTTTTGATTTGTAAGTGTCTGTTGATTTCGCGTTGCATTTGGAACTTTATTGAGCCTCAAATTCTGTCTCAGTTGAGCTTGAAACTGTGTGAAATTTTATCAATTGCGACTGGAATAGAAACCCAATTGTTTACTAAGCCTGCAAATGATCCAACGTTTATTTCAATTTAATCCCAATTACCTGTTTTAGGGCACTGTGATTTCTGAGGGAAATGAAACATTCCTTATAAGGGTGTGGAAACCTTTCCCTAACAACGCATTTTAAAACCTTGAGTGGAACCCCACGAGAGAAAGCTCAAAGAGGACAATATTTTGCTAGCGGTAGGCTTGGGGGGTGTGTTAGCGAGGACGCTGGTCTCCCAAAGGGAGTGAATTGTGAGATCCCACATTGGTTGGAGGGGGGAATGAAACATTCCTTATAAGGATGTGGAAAACTTTCCCTAACAGACGTGTTTTAAAACCTTGAGTAGAACCCCACGAGAGAAAACCCAAAGAGGACAATATTTGCTAGCGGTAGGCTTGGACAGTGTGCCAGCGAGGACGCTGGGCTCCCAAAGGGAGTGGATTGTGAGATCTCACATCGGTTGGAGAGGGGAATGAAACACTCCTTATAAGGGTGAGGAAACCTCTCCCTAACAAACACGTTTTAAATCCTTGAGGGGAACTCCACAAGAGAAAGCCCAAAGAGGACAATATCTACTAGCGGTGACTTGAGCTGTTACAGAAGACCGATTAATTTCAGTGATCATTATGATATTCTTACAGGCGGAGCAGTGACCTGTGCTTCTGTTCATATTGGAGAAATTAAACCTGGAGCTATGAGGGGAAACCACAGGCACCACACTTGTAATGAAACATTTGTCCTGTGGGGTGCTAGAACAATATTCAGAGTAAGCTAAAAGCGTTGGAAATCATTTATTAATTCTATCTATTCTACATCATGGATTGGCTCGAAGTTGGGAACTGTTTCCTTGAATGAAAAATCACAAAATTCAACATTAAATATGTTGCTAATTTGGATTGTGTGTCACTTGATGCAGTTGGAGAACAGCGAGGTAGGTGATAAGGGATATGCTGAAGTGATAATTGGTGCGGACGAGATTGCTGTTGCAGCAAGTCCAAGAGGAACAGCCCATGCATTGATAAACATGGATCCTGCACGGTCTACATGGTTTCTGGGGTGTCAAGATGGTATTATAAACTATAACACTTCAACTTCTGATTTTAAGGTTTGGAAAGATCTTTAGTTTGCAACAATCTCTCTTAACTTGGGCCTTATTTAGTTCTTGACAAGAACTCCCTTTTATTTCACTTCTCCTGTGGGAATTTTTGGTAGGTGGTGGGGTATAGCATTGTAGTTTCAAATCTAGGGAATTTGTGAGCTGATTGTCATGAGATGAGATGAACTTCTACATCTTTGTATACAGGATAGCTTTTATAGTATTAAGTACACTAAAGCACAATGGTCCTCTCGATCATACAAGGATCATACAAGTTAACCACAAAATTACATTACAAATACTTAAAAGTTAAACTCATTATCACAAAATAGGATTATTGCATCTCCATTTTCTCCCATCATTAGCCTTATAGCCCTCCTTATTTTCCTCTTCTAGTATCATTTTCATTTGGCTCCACTAGTATTGGAGGCAGGGAGGGAGCTTGAGTGTTGTAACGGCCCAGATTCACCGCTAGCAGATATTGTCCTCTTTGGGCTTTCCCTTTCGGACTTCCCCTCAAGGCTTTAAAACACGTCTACTAGGGGAAAGTTTCCACACCCTTATAAATGGTGGTTTGTTCTCCTCCCCAACCAATGTGGGACATCACAATCCACCCCTCTTCGGGGCCCAGTGTCCTCGCTGGCACTCTTTCCTTCCTCCAATCGATGTGGGACCACCCCCAAATCCACCCCACTTTGGGGCCCAGCGTCCTTACTGGCACACCGCCTCGTATCTACACCCCTTCGGGGAAGGGCGAGAAGGCTGGCACATCGTCCGGTGTCTGGCTCTAATACCAATTGTAACAGTCCAGATCCACTGCTAGCAGATATTGTCCTCTTTGGGCTTTCCCTCTCGGACTTTCCCTCAAGGCTTTAAAATGCGTTTATTAGGGGAAGGTTTTCACACCCTAATAAATGGTGGTTTGTTCTCCTCCCCAACCAATGTGGGACATCAGAAGATGAAGAAAATGAACCAACAATGTCGTTGTCCAAGTTATTTTTCTCTTTTTTTGTGAGATCCCACATCGATTGGAGAGAGGAACGAGTGTCAGCGAAGACGCTGACTTTGAAGGGGGTGGATTGTGAGATCCCAGACGGTGTGGCAACAGACGCTAGGCCCCGAAATGGGGTAGATTGTGAGATCCCACATCAGTTGGAGAGGAGAACGAAGCATTCTTTATAAAGGTGTGGAAACCTCTCCCTAGTAGACCGTTTTAAAACCTTGAGGGAAAGTCTGAAGAGCACAATATGTGCTAGCGGTCGGTTTGGGTTTGGGTTTGTGCTTGGGTGTTACATGTGACCCTAATTTGTTCTATTTAAAATGTTTCTCTTGAGCACGCACTCTCACAGCAAGGTGCGAGGTGCCTTACCTGAGCGTAGGTCCACGCCTTTTGTGGTGTTTTTTCAATAACAATGTATGTATATGTGTTTCGGTTGTAAACTTGAGAGATCTTATATAACTATTCCAATTCCGACATCAAGGATTCAGGTAGGAAACTCTTATCTTCTTTGATTTGCTCTTTTTCTGATACAAACATCTTCATTCATTCATTGAGAATTGCTGTAAAGAAGAGCTTTAGCTTCTGAGTTTCTGATCACTGAATTAGATTATGGCACATATCTTGCCTGTGCCATTTCATATTCATGTTGGTAACAACTTAATGTAGCTCTCATTCTTATCGTACTCGAAATTGCTCGTATTTGCATACTTTTACTCGAACGATATTGGTAGAAGCTGTTCATATCCATTGTGTTTCTCTAGGGATATCATAATTGGCCTCATGTGGGACTTTGGTGGTGGGATTTATGGTCGTAGCAGTAATTTGGCATAAAATTCCGTGGAGAAACATTGGTCTTTTGTGGAAGTTTTAAGACCATAAGAAAGAATTAGGCTAAGAATCACATAAGGGGCTCGATTTGACGTTTTACTCGATAAACTCCTAATAAAACTTAAGACAAAGTAGATTGTAAGTTTTAACCCCAAATGATATTCAACACTTATCGAAATTTCAAAACATGACCAAATATCATGATTTATGAAGGTATGTATGATTTGAAGTTCACTGGAACATGTTTAGACTATAAACCATCGATAGAGGTGAAATGACATAAACGCCTCTATTATGTAAAAGTTTATATAGCGTATATTTAAATTTTCTGTTTTTGTTTAAATTTATTTTCGACGATTTAAATTTGTGAAAGAAGATAATTCTAATTATAATACAAACAATAATATTTTAATATAATTTCTATAAATCCAAATTTTAAAATTACAATTACTCATTATTAGCTTATTTATTATTATAAATAAATAAATAATCGAGGTAAAATGGAGACAGAGATGGGAATGCAATCCCGTCCACATTCCTATTTAGCCAATGACGAGAAATTTTCTTCACTCCCTTTCTTATTTTTCATTTAAATAGGAATTTTTTTACTTTGTAGGGTCCCAAACCCGAGTCAAATGGACGAAAAAACCTTTACTGTTAAGTTTTCGATGGAAAACATTAATTTCATTGTAATAATATAACTAACCTTTTAAACCGTTTTAAAAATACTCTTTTAGAAAAATTGTGATGTCCCACAGACGCGTTTTAAGGTGTGTGGAAACCTTCCCTTAGCCGGACGTTTTAAAATCTTGAGGGGAAGGCCATAAGAGAAAACACAAAAAGGACAATTTAAATCTTTGAGGAGGAGCTCATCAGGAAAAGCTCAAAGAGGACAATATCTGCTAGCGGTGTGTCTGGGCCATTACAAATGGTATCAGAGTCAGACATCGAACAATGTGTCAGCCTTCTCGCTGTTCCTCGAAAGGGGTAGACACGAGGTGATGTGCTAGTAAGGACACTGACCCCAAATGGAAGTAGATTTGGTGGAGGTCCCACATCGATCGGAGAAAGGAACGAATATTCCTTCTTTCTTTCCCCTACAAATTCTTCATTCACGAACAAATTAAATTTTATAGCAATAATTCTCCCTTGTTGGGATGGATTTGGAAAACTAAAAGAGATACGTTCAATTATTTGAAGTTAACAACATAATTTTTTTTTCCAAGTTTACTTTTTCCATCCCATCTACGATTAACACTCAAATTTAAAGTTCATTTATAATGTCAGAGCATCATAGAGTATCATTCACGTATATGAATAATAAAAATAAAGTATTTAAACGTTTTTGAAATATAAAAAATATTTATGAAACTTTTTAATTTCTAAATATTATTATAAAAACAGTTTATAATATTTTAAATATAAACTCTTATGCTTTTGTTTTTTTTTGTTGGGAACGGAAATAATATCTTTTATTATTAAAACAAATCATATTTAAATGATATTTTTAATAATTTAACTTAATATATATATATATACAGAGGCAGTTGCTTTACATACTCCTCTTTGTCTTTCTTTCCTCTCTTCTCTCTCCAGTGCTGTAATCTTCATCACTCAAGAATTTTCATTTTCTAACCATTACGTAGAAGGAGACTTTGAATCGATGAAAAGGCAGAACAGTCAGTTATCGTCCACTTCCCGCCGGGATCCTCCGCCTGAAAGTCTTCGAGCTAAGAGTATCGGTTGCATGTCCGGCATTATTCATCTTCTCTCCAAGTACCAGAATCGCCACAAGAAATCCCTCACATTTGGTTCTTCTCTAACTAATTCTATTTCAATTTCCTTTCAATTGATTTTTTCCACTGCTTTCTTCCGGCATTAAATTGATCGAGGAATTTGTGGATTTAGTTTGATTTTCTTGATGTTCTTAGGAAAGAGTAAGCAGGAGAAGGATATTATTGTGTTTTCCTCTTCTTCTTCTTCGGATCAATGTCTAGCCTCGGCTGCCGGTATATCTCCACCTACTCCAAAGCCGCAGGGACATCGAAGGTCGCGAAGTAATAAAGAAGGAAAGCGAACGGAGGTTGTTGATTTCAGCCGGAGAAGAATCTCTTGCGATCTGCCGACGAGGAGTCCGACTCTTTCTGCGGAGATACGTCGTTCGAGCTCCGTAAACTCTCCGTCGAAGATCCAAAAATCCCCGGCCCTAGTAGCGCGATTGATGGGACTGGAAGCGGTGCCGGCGATGCCAGTTGAAGAACCGTCTAACGAGAAGAGGAGGAAGCTGTTGGGAGCGCTAGAGAAATGTGATAACGACTTGAAGGCTCTCAAGGACATTATCATGGCGTTTCGGTCACCGGAAAGTGATCAATCGGCAACGGCGGTTGCAGGAAATTGTCTGAATCGAGACAAAGTAAAAACAATTTCTGAACGGAAGTGTAGGGACTGTAACTGTAGCGATATAGAGAGGCAGCAGCAGCATCCGAGTGCAGCGTCCGTGTTTAACGAGTCCAGTCGCTCGCATCTGAACAGAATCAACCGTACAGGCAGAGGGCGTGAAAATGGTACGTCGCTGTTCTTAGCCTTCAATTTGGTTATCAATAACTGCTAATTTTGGACTTTTTTTTTTCTAATTTCTTTCTTTTATCATGAAATTTCAGATAAACCCTAAAACTTAATTGAATTTATTTGTCTGCCTAAAATATTAATTCTAATCTAGTTGCATATTAAATGCTGTACTTCTAAATTTCGGTTCATAATTAATCTTATAAAATTCTTAATCTAGTCTTTAAAGGTGTCGATTAAGACATTTGGTACTATTCTGTTAAAATTTGTTAATAATTTTAATACTATATTTCAAACAAACTTTAATAACTTTAGTATGGAATAATCTAGGTATAAATTTAGATAAAGTAAAGATCAAAAGTTCAAACTATTCATATATTAACTAAAAAAATTAACACACAAATTAAGATTTAAAAAGACTGAATTATTTAGTATATTTAGTTATGTATAGTGACATAACTACTTGTTTAGAACCCCCAAAAGATATAATATGGAAGAAAACAAAAATTAATTTCTTTTGGAGTTCATATTACAAACTAAGAATTTAATATTTCAGACTTATGGGTAAATTGGGTACCTAAATTTGAGTGTTTTTTTAGTTCATCTGATTGTTTTTTTTCCTAAATTTGAGTGTTGAAGATATATCATAATTAGTTCTTTTTCTTTATTAATGTGTAAATCCAAATACAGTTACACCGACAAAATTATAGAAAAAAGAAAATGTAATGGAGAGAAAATAATAAAAGGAAGTTAAAGTAAAAAACTTATAAGAAAAGAAAAAAAAAACTAGATAGGAATCTGATGTAGGCAAAGAAAAAGATGAAGCAAAACAGCTTTATTTCACCTCACAATTCACACGAATGCAGTTTTTCCCCCCTTAATTATTCTTGGAGTAATTTTGAAGAATCCAAATGCTTAACCAAGTTCTATCTAATTGGATAAAACAGTACATATGTTAGAAATTTTCGTTAGTAAGACTAGAATTTTACAACTGAAGCCATTGATTTAAGGCAAAGTAAGCAGGTGATTTGTGTCCACTTTTTTGTTCTTGGCTCGATGAAAGGAAAGATGTTAATATCAAATGCTTGAAGTTGAGGGTAGTGGCTATAGCTATATTAGATTATTGGTAGTGTGGTAGGTTCAAGAATCCTGAATGAAGACAAGAACAGTGCCTTTTCAAGTAAAAGTAGAAGGCATAGCATGCCAAAATATAGGATTCCCAACATCAACCTTGATGGCATTTGTTAAGCTCAGTGCTTTTACTGCTGCTTAGGCATGAGGGGACACACTACATGCTTTTTAGTTGCTCGTAATTATTACATGTATGCTGCCTATGACCACTAAGACCATTGCTCCTTTATGAATAACTCATCAAAATTTAGAGAGCCAGAGCTTCAAATTATAATTAAAGTAGGTATACCTTTTGATTATGATTCTCTATGAGTTGTTAATTCAAATTATTGGACATTCTTGATTCAAATTATTATCTAAAGTTGGGGAGGAGAACCAAACATTTTTTATAAGGGTATAGAAATCTCATTAGTAGACGCGTTTTAAGGAATCCTAAACTGGAAAGTTTAAAGAGGACAATATCTGCTAGGGATGAACTTGGACTGTTATAAATGATATTAGAGCCAAACACCGGACGATGTGTCAGCGAGGAAGTTGAGCCCCGAAGGGGAGTGGACAAGAGGCGATGTGCTAGCAAAGATGCTGGCCCCAAAGGGGGTGGATTGGGGAGTCCCACATCAATTGGAGAAGAGAACGAGTCCCAGCGAGAATACTGGGCCTTGAAGGGGGTAGATTGTGAGATCTCACATCGGTTGGAGAGTAGAATAAAATACCGTTTATACGGGTGTAGAAACCTCTCTCTAACATACACGTTTTAAAAACTTGGAAGAGAAGAAAAAAAATTCAAATAGGATAGTATTTTAAGATTTAAGCTAAGGTAAAAGATGGATTTATAATTATATAACGTAGGTATAATCATTTACTTGAGATTTGAGCCATGTTTATTCGGAGGAAATGAGAATAGAAGAACGGGAATTATTCTCCTCCAGTCTTAATTCTCAAAGAATGCTTTTCAATTTAGGAGTCCAAGATCAAATTATTTCCAGTGGTTGATTTCTTTAGAAAGTGTCAGTTTCATTACTTTATTTTGTTGGGTTCCACCATAATTCTCTTTTGACCTTTTCGTAGGCTTCACATCATTTTAAATTGGATCATTAATCACAATCTTTTTCATTCTCATTTCACTTCAAAAGTGATTTTAGTGACAAATTTAGACATTTTCTCTCATTTGCATTCCCTTTTAGTTAATTGGTTTAGATAGAAAATAAAGTGGAGGAAGTGGACCACTGTTTCACGCAAGTCCACAATGAGCAAATAGCTATGCTTTAGCAATGATTCAGTCAATTCATTGTTCAAAAAAGCTTGGGGAACATACAGCCTTCCTTCACTTTTTCAGAAATAAGGAAGAGACAGCTTAGAAACAAAGCAGCAGATGACTATTATTTTTTATTTTTTATTTTTTTCTTTTTTTGCTCTTTCACTCAAGCAAAAAACCAGGCTTTTTCTAAAGCCATTGTTTCCCGCTTCTCTTCCACTCCCAACCACTGTCATCCCTACCCCCACCTCCGATCCATCTCTATGTCTGTTATTATCATCAGTAATATCACTGCTGCACCATGAAGATTTACTGATTTTTTTTTACTTTTTGCTTTTCCTTTTTTTGATAATTTTTTTTATACTTCTATTTAGCATGAGATTATGTTTGCATTCTCACAACATATATTACCTTTATTGGTTTCATATCTCTCCTTTATTGACGATATTTATATCATAAAACGTTTTTTTTCTGCCCTATGGTCTATTTGTTGTGGTCAATGACCATTTACTCATACTGATGGTGACTAAACACAGATACTGGTTACTTTTTCTTATAAGAAGTTTGGATTCTGACTTTCATTATTTTTGTTGTTATAGTTATCATCTTATGTAGTTTTAGTTTAAGGTCAAATATGTTAGATAAATTCTTTGACCATCATCATATATTTAGGTGTAAATACACATAAAATGATAAACTTAAAAGGCTTGTTTAGAAGATTGAGAAGATTGTTTTCTTGGATCAACATGTTTAGGTACCTTCAATTTTACCCAAAATATTACCTGATCCCAAGCATATTCGGCCAAGGATGGTTAGAATACCATATTAGCTAATTAGGAAAGGACGGTTAGAATACCATATTAGCTAATTAGGAGAAAAATCATGAGTATACAAGTGATGGACACTATCTTAATTGATATGAAAATTTCTAGGGAAAACCAAAAGTAGAATTACTAGAGTTTATGCTCAAACGGAATAAATATTATACCAATGTAGAGGTTCGATGTTCTTAACATAGTAATAGAGTCATACTCTTATCTTAACTGAAGTATGTTAATAGAATTTTTAAGGGTTGAACAAAAGAATAAGGAGACATAATCATAATAATGACTCTATTGGTATAAGACTTTTTGGGAAAGCTACGAGAGTTTATTCTCAAAGTGGAAAAATATCATTCATACCAATTGAGAGGTTCATTATTTCTAACATAATCTGTAACAGTCTAAGCCTATCACTAATAGATATGGTCTTTTTTGTACTTTCTTTTCTAAACTTCACGTCAAAATTTTTAAAATGCTTCCGCTAGTGATAGGTTTTTACACCTTAATATTTTGTTCCCCTCCAATCTATTGTGAGATCCCACATTGATTGTAGAGAGGAACGAGAGCCAGCGAGGACGCTAGGCCTCGAAAGGTGGATGGTGAGATCCCACATCGGTTGGAGAGGGAAACGAAACATTTTCTTTATAAAAGTGTGGAAACCTCTCCCTAGTTGACACGTTTTAAAAATCTTAAGCAAAAATCAAAAAGGGAAAACCTAAAGAGAATAACATTGGCTAGCGGTGGGCTTGAGAATGATATCTACTAGCAGTAAGCTTGGACGGTTGCACAATCAACCAACTATACACATCTAAAAGTAAGAGTTTTAGAAAGCGAGAAACCAAAATAATTGCCAAATTGGAAAAGGAAAAGAAAGTATAGCAAACGTTTATCTTTTGTGTATACGATCCTGCATGCATGTAAAACAGTAGTATTAACAAAAAGTACTTTGGAAATGCAGGACGACAAGAAACACAGCAACAGCCAAAGAAGAAGAACCCACCAGCAATTGAAGGTGAGGACACAATCTCCATCTCCTCCTTGAACCCAATTTCCAAATTACAGGAACGGATCATAAAGTTGCAGCAGATCAGCAGCAGCACACACTTAACAACGATGAAGAAGGAGGAGAAGGAAAAGGAAAAGGAAAAGGAAGATCCGGCATTAACGTGGAGAAGCAAGGCCATGGCGGAGAGCTTGGACGAAATCTCCAACCAAATCTCATGGGGCTTCAAACACGAGATGGCCAAAATAGGTATGGCTTTACAACACCACATTTACAGAGAGCTAATTGATGAAATGCTCACTGATATGATCACCAAATCTTCTGCTTGCTTTCTTCCCTTCCATTCTTCTTCTCTCCCTCCCTTTGAAGCATGTAGGAGAAGACTTCGTTTCTGATTGTTTTTTTTTTTCCCCTTCTTTTGTGTTTAGTTTACACACATTAATTTAAATTTCGATACTTTTGTGTAGCCTTCCAAGAATTATGATGATCCGACTATAAATTTAGTTGGTTTATGGTTCAAATTAGGGTTGTATATGCAGGTATAACATGCATTTTGCTAGGTTTTTTATGTTCTATGGATGGACTTCTAACTCTCAAGCTCGGTTCGACAAAATTTACAATATATTTTTCGATTTTGTAGGTATGTACTAAAACTTAAACAGTCGTAAGTATTCTAAACCTTTGGCGTTTGTTTTTGTATCAAATGATTATTAGAAGGTCTATATCCTACAATGTATTTCGTAGCTGTCTCATTGAATAATTTACTAGTATCAATGATAATTCTCTCACGAGGAATCAACAACTTAGGTTATCATTTGAAAATTGTCGTGGAATGACAATAAATCATCTTGTCTATCTGGAAGAAGATGATTGCGTTCCAACTTTCTAAAATTATAGACCGGTTTGGGCTCATTTTCATATGCATTTTAAAGTGAAAAAATGAAAAACATATATGCTCGGAACTTATAAATTTTAATAGAAATCAATCAAACTTTATACGGGTATTCTTGAGAAAAAAGTAAACCAAAACAAAATAAAAACATCGTTAACAACTTCAATTAAAATAGATCCTTGGCGTTCTTCAATTTTTCATCTCGATTTCGATGTTGATTCTATTTTCATGTGTATTAGGTTTCTCCAGAAAATTTTCAAAATTTTTAATGATTTTTTTGTCCGATAATTGAACTCGAAAAGGCACATGACTAATCAAGAATGTAGCAATTCGAAATTTTAAGCAAGTAATACTTGTAGGGATCATTTGAATATGCATACATGCTAGAAAAATCAAACCCTAGATAGTTAGATTCGGTATGACCTGAGCCTAGGAAGATCGGTTAGGCATCAAGTTAGTCTCACTAGTTATTAACATAACTTAATTGTTCTTTGCATGTTGAGATGGACTCTTTTTCGACTGTTTGTACATAATTGTGCTAATCCGGTGGATGAAAATCTGTGTACATGCGTTTCGAGTATTTGATGGAATGAGAGCTTACAAGTAAGTTGCTTATCGAGTATATTTACAGATTCATCCCTTTTTAATTTTTTTTCTTCAGGTGTATGATGTTGTTGAACGAGACGAGAGGGTACTCGGGAGATCAATAACCACAGAGGACTGACGACTCGAAGCATCTATCTTGTCAACAAGTTTTTGTAGTTGTCATATCATATACACATCTTTTGTATCACGAACATGTTCCCTCTTTAAAGATCAAATTTAACATATGTACATATATTCTATTTTATATTGATGTTGAGTGGTTTAAAATCACGTGAAATTTTATGTCGTACATTCATGTTGCATTCCATTATGGTTTGAATCTTATTAAATATTATAAAATAATTCAATATAAATTTAAATCTTATTGAAATTTCAAATATACTTTTATTTATTATATTTAATATACATTAATTATTTTAATATTTAATACGGATCTAGATGTATTAATTAATTCAAGGTCAATTAATATATATATATATATATATATATATATATATATATATATATATTAATGAGGCCCTCCACTTCTTAGATCGAAATTTATAATAAATTAAATTAAAGAATTATTAGTAGACTTTAATTTTAATATACGATTAAATTAGTCGAGAAAAAATTAAAGGTTTTTTAAAAATAATTTTGCCTTAAAAAATTATCATATTTTTAATAATAATGAAAAGATTGACTTTGCCTTAAAATTAAAGGTCAACTAAAAAAAAATGATAATAATTTAGATTTTTTTTTTTTTTTAATTCGATAGGATTTACTTTAAGTCGATTCTGATTTTGATTAAATAATACTATTATTTCTAGAAATTTTTTTACCAGATTCAATTTTTAATCACAATTATTTTTCTTAAACATTTATCAAATAATTTAGATAAATAAAATTACATGCAATTTAACAAAAATTTAAATAATTATCTTAAAATAGATTATAAATAACAACAATTTCAACCTTTTAAAGTTTTAAAAATAAATTAAAGTAAAATTAAAAAAAAAAAATTATTAACTAAGCAGTAAAATTATTCCACCTAATTTCATTTTAATTTTAAATTGCCTAAATAACATTATTGTCCTTATAACAAAATTTATTATTTAATTATTTTTAATAAGTAAAAGAAAAGGAGAGAAAAATCTCTCGTATTAATAAAATTATTACTATACATTTAATTTTCAACCTTTTCTTTAATATTATGTTAATTTCTTTATTTAATTTTTGTTACAATGTGTTAGCTATGATTTTCAAATTGACTCATTTATAATTAATAAGTATTAATCGATTCTCAAAATAATTTAAATATAAAATTAATTAGGAATAGATTTATATTTATGAGTTGAGTCGGATTAAAGTTATTCAGGTTTATTAAAAAAATTATTTTTGATTAGTTGATAAAATATATATTTATTTATTTTTAAATATTTAATTATAATTCAATTTAAATATATATTTTAAAATTTACCTTGGAAGTTGAAAATAAATAATAAAAAATAAATATTCGTAAATAAAAATATATTTTTTAAAAATTAATAATAAAATTTCAACAAACCAAATCAGTTTATAACCCAACACAAGTTATACAGTCAAACAACTATTGGTTCATTCATAACCCAACTCAAATTATACAGTCAAACAACTATCGGTTCATAACCCAACTCAAATTATACGGTCAAACAATTATCGGTTCATAACCCAACTCAAATTATACTGTCAAACAACTATTGGTTCACAACCCAACTCAAATTATACTGTCAAACAACTATTGGTTCATAACCCAACTTAAATTATACAGTGAAACAACTATCGGTTCATAACCCAACTCAAATTATACGGTCAAACAACTACCTGTTCATAACCCAACTCAAATTATATGGTCAAACAATTATCGGTTCATAACCCAACTCAAATTATACAGTCAAACAACTATCTGTTCATAACCCAACTCAAATTATACGGTCAAACAATTATCGGTTCATAACTCAACTCAAATTATACGGTTAAACAACTATCGGTCGGTAGGGATAGTTTAATAGAAATCAATAGGATGACATTCCTATCTCTACTCTTATCTCAAATTAAATGCTATGAATAGGATGCTACCTATATTGAGTTTCAAATTAGAGGTCCATTTTTTTTCAATATATATAAATTTTTTTTAAAAAATAATAATAAAGTATTATAATATATATTCATATGTATTTACTAGTAATTTTATTATAGCTTAGATATTATAGTTTCAGTTTAAAGGTTCAATTTTATTTAATTAAAAAATAAAGCAGCTGAGCAAAGTCTTCAATTCTTTTAATTATACTATTAATATATATATAGTATTAAAAAAAAAAAGTTAAGACAATATTTTTAAATTTAATAATAGCATATTTAATCATTAGAAATAGATATTATTAATTTATTTTAACATAAAAAAATTGACTTAAATGCGGAAATTTAACTATCATAAAATGGGTAACCTATCACGACCACGACATCAATTGAGCCGTGTTAGTGAAGATAATTTGATTCCTGCATTTAAGTCACAGTGCTTATATTTGACAATTCCATAGCATCTATTTCAAAATTTTTATAACAAATGTTAAATTTTTTTAATTTTCGACTATGTTATGTGCTATTATTATGGTCGAAATGAATTTATAAACCATCATGCTTAAAATAAATTATTTTCAGATAATTTTTTTTCATAAATAATTAGAATTATAAAAAAAAAATATTAATTTTTGAATTTGTGTCATTTTTTTTATGGAGAATATCGCATCTTATCGACCCATAAAAGAAATATATATATATATATATATATATATTTTTATTTTATAGAATTATGGTAGAGGGAAATATTAGATATTTTTAAAGGCTAGAGGTCGGTTAAAAAGAATATTCAAAATAAATAAATAAAAAGGGTGGTGGGGCCCACCTAAGAATAGACAAAGCCGACTGTGACTCGTTCGTATGACGTGGTAGTCAAAAGTGAAACAAAATGACCGCGTAGCGTCCAAACCGCGTAACCGCGTTTGCTCTCTCTCTCTCTCTCTCGCTTTCCGTTGACTTTTCTTTTTTATTCTTTTAAATAATTATAAAGTTAAGAGAGAGAAATTTTACCCCCACGTTCCGTTTTTCACTGCCCTCCGGTAATTTCTTTTCACTTCCCCCTTTTTTACCGAGTAAAAGAACGGTTTCGCTTCGGTTTTACCGTTAGGCGGTGGGAAGAGAGCAGGATCCCCGACGGCCGCTTCCACAGTATGATCATTTCTATCTCTACGTGTCGCGATTTAATTGGCTCTCTTTTTTGCTACGTGGCAGCATGATAAGACAGGTCTTCTCCGATTCTGATCCGTTTAAATCGTACGTGATTCTGTCTGACGCTCTTCTTTTTCTTTTTTTCAGAGCCTTTCTCTGTTATTTTACTATTTTACCCCTGGAGGGTTGGCTCCTGTGTTCAGCATAATTCCAATTTCGTCTTTGGCAAGTTCAAATACCTAAAATACCCTTTCATTTTCTTTTTTAAAATTCTCTTTTATCTTTTGGAAATTGTTTCTTCATTTTTTAAACAAATTTTTCTCACACTAATTAGTAAGGCTTTTATAATAAAAAATGAAATAATAAAATGATTTTATTTACTTTTTAAAAGATTCCTTCTAGAAGTTGAAGGGTGGTTAGTAAAAAAAACCTTACTTTTTAAATTCCTTAAATACCCTTGTATTTTCAATTTTTGTAATAATGACATTTGCAAAAATATTCCAAATCAAATAATTAGATCATTATTTTAATATACTTGTTTCTGTTATTATTTTTATATAATTTTAAATAATTGAGAGTTACAAATTGCATATTGACATAATTGGAATAATGTGAGAATATTTAAATAAAATAAAATAAAATAATTAATTAATTAATTGAGACCTTTTTAATTACTAAAATATTATAAATATTAAGGTAATGAATTAAAGAAATCTTTTTAAAAAGAGGGCAGTATGGTAAATTAGCAGTCCAAGTGCCTGACAAAGGAGGAGTGAAAAAAAGGTCAAGAATGGGGAACTGGTAATTACTAGAAAATAATAAGGGTAAATTGGTAAATAGGAAAAAGAAAAGTCCAGATTCAGAGCATTTAAAGCAGAGGTGGAGCGCTCGTATAAAACTCCAACCAATTCTCTCCTCCGTCCTTACACTTATACAGAGTTTGCTCTCTTCTTCTTGTTCTTTGTTTTTCTTCTCCGGCCGGTGACCGCCGATCTTCTCTCTAGATTTCCTTGTTTCAGACTTTTTCTGAATCATTTTCTTGTAGATAAAGACTTCTGCATACGATTATCTTCTCGAGTGATCAGCAATGGCGGATCAACTCACCGACGATCAGATCTCTGAGTTCAAGGAGGCCTTCAGCTTGTTCGACAAGGATGGCGACGGTTCGTTCTGATTCTATTCGATTATCTTTTGGTTGATTTTTATTTGATTCTGCACCGCTTTTCGTTGTCGTGTTCGTCAGTGTGCCGGATCTCTTGTTTCCATTTCTTCCTTTGGCATTGCTCTGTTTTTCGTTGGATTTTCTCCTTGCTATGTGTTTATTTTTTTATTTACACGGATTTTGTTATTCGTTTCGGTTTTTTTAAGAATTTGTTATTCTATTTTCTGCGATTCGTTTTGCGTGTTCGTTGGTGTTGGATCTGTGCATCCTTTTGCGGATTCAATATTGATTTCTAGTTTTGTATGACTTCGTTTAAACGTGGAAGCTCGTTTTTCCTGTGAGATGATTCTGATTCTGATTCTGAGTGAAAAATTTAATTACGATGGATGTCAATGTATCATAAGGATGTGGCGAATTCAATTCACTCATTTTTCCTTTGCCTTCATATCGATTTTACAGGTTGTATCACAACCAAGGAGCTTGGTACTGTTATGAGGTCACTAGGTCAGAATCCAACCGAAGCGGAGCTTCAGGACATGATTAATGAGGTCGATGCTGATGGCAATGGAACAATCGACTTTCCCGAGTTCCTAAACCTCATGGCTAGGAAGATGAAGGATACGGATTCCGAGGAGGAGTTGAAAGAGGCATTCCGAGTCTTCGATAAGGACCAGAATGGCTTCATCTCCGCTGCTGAGCTCCGCCATGTGATGACCAATCTCGGCGAGAAACTGACCGAGGAGGAGGTCGATGAGATGATCAGAGAGGCCGATGTGGATGGCGATGGCCAGATTAACTACGACGAATTCGTCAAGGTCATGATGGCCAAGTGAGAATCATGATGCCCCCCCTTCTACTATCACCAGAATTCAATGATAATAATTCTACTCAAAAAGCAAAAAAAAAATCGAGGGTTGGTTTACTTTATAACTGGATTCTCCTGATTTTCCCTTTGATTCCCGTCCATCAGTCTTCATCGTCAGTTTAAAAATTGGGGTTTTGTTTTATACAAAATCCTTATTAGGAAAATAGTTGTCTCTGCTTTGTTTGTGACGTCTTCAATTTGAATGTATCATTTGACAAGAAAAGTGTCTTCGCTGTTCCTCTTCTCTCCTTTTTCTTTGCCAACCTCTAATATGATTGATTATTTAGCCAAGTTACTTTAATCAACTTTTGTCCAACAGACGTGAATGATCCAGAATAGTTCAGAATTCTTAAATCACAGAAGTTCTTACCGAATTACATCTTATGTTAATGGGAGTTAATGATTTAAGTTGATACTAACTATTAAAATATCAAAAAGCTTCTCAAGACATGAAACTTAGTATAAATGGCAATGTTCAAAAGGGGAAATAAAATGTTGAATAAGAAACCAACTACATCAGTGATTCAAGTGTGTTCTTCATTACAAATTCCACAGCATTCTTAACTTTCAGTTCTCAATTCTCTCCTCTAAGTGCTCTGCTGTATTATCGAACCTTAAATTCTGGCATTAATAGACAGTTTCATTCATTCATTCATTCATTAAAACATCACAATCTCTTCAAGCTTTTCTTTCTTGCATCTATTTTCTTCTTGTCACCCTGCATCTTCAAGGGTCCATCTTGTTTTTTCACCACTGCTGCTGCTGGTGCAGCCACGCCGGAGCCCCCGACTCCAGACTCTAAGGCTGGTGGTGTTGTAGTGTTCGGCTGCTGCTCCTGCCCACCTCTAACTGCAGTATTAGAATTTGCAGTTGGACATGCCGATGACAGTACAGCAGCAGATGTGTTTTTGAGATCTGTATTAAGCGCAGACGCATTTGTTGGGTCAACATTTAGCGCAGTTGTGGATTCGGAGATGGCTCCCGACTTGAACTTCGGTTTCGGCTTTGCATGGATTCCAGTATAGAGCCTGGCAAAATACAAGCAGAAAGTTCGCTACATGCCTCGAGCTTGATGACTATATCATCATCATCTTTGAAAAGATGCAGATACTATTTTTACTAGGAAATAAAATTCTTTAGGACTGATAGAACAGAGCAATGGAGATGAAGACACAAGCATATGGATACGACAGTTCGGACGAATTTGGGATGACTTTTCAAGAGCAGATGTACTTTTATAGTGTGATGTCCTGGTTGGGGAGGAGAACAAACCACTATTTATAAGGGTGTGAAACCTTTCCTAGCAGACACGTTTAAAGCTTTGAGGGGAAGTCCGAAAGGGAAAGCCCAATGAGGACAATATCTGCTAACAGTGAATCTGGGCCATTACAAATGGTATCAGAGTCAGACACCGAACGATGTGTCAGCCTTCTCGCTGATCCCCGAAGGGGGTAGACACAAGGTGGTGTGCCAGTAAGGATATTGGCCCCAAATGGGGGTGGGATTTAAGGGTGGTCCCACATCGATTAGAGGAAGGAAAGAGTGCCAACGAGGATGCTGGGCCCAAAGGGAGGGTGGATTGTGATGTCCCACATTGGTTGGGGAGGAGAACAAACCACCATTTGAGTGGAAACCTTCCCCTAGTAGACGCGTTTTAAAGCCTTGAAGGGAAGCCCGAAAGGGAAAGCCCAAAGAGGACAATATCTGCTAGCAGTGGATCTGAACCGTTACATTTAGAAAACATAATCAATGGGCAAAATTGGATTCAATTGTCAATGGCTCCTATCGTAAATAGGATTGACTATGGATTCGAGCCATAGCACACAGTTTTATAAAACTATATGATTTTCTCAATCTAAATAAAGCAGGTTTTACAGGAAGAAGATTTGGTTCAGCATGTTCTATTCGATACGGGTAGGAAAACGGGTGTTTTCCAAGCTTTTATAGCTTTCAAACTAACTTTTGGTTGTACAACCCAACGTCGTGAATACTTAGAAAGGACTTTGCACTCTTTCAAAAGTCGACCTGAGCTCACTCTTATAGATTAAGTAGAGATTTTGGGTCGACACCAATAAAATCGACAGAGGTCTATCTAAAAAACATTAACCATTCCAACATTTCATATCAGCCAACAAAAAACAGATAATTTGGAAGGGGGGCCTGACTCACCTGGCATGTCTGGCATATTCATCATAATTTTCAAGCAGCATCTTGCCAGCTTGTTCATTCAAAGCTGATTCTGGAAATGGTTCAATCAGTAGACATCTAACAACCTGTTCCACAAAACACCCATTATTACAGAGATTCTGGAACAAAACCACAATGAAATCAATATATTAAGGGATTTTTAAAACTGATCTCTCCAACCAATTAAGAAAATATCAGGAAAGAAAGAGATTTTACAATTAGGACATGCCGCAGCCCAAGGCTTGGATTCCAATCTTTCTTCAAAGTGTTGACACAAATCTCACCATTGGTTGCAATGTTTGGATGAAAGATCTTAGTAAGGAAGTAACCTACAAAGAATAAAACAAGTTAAAGAGATAGATGCCATTGAGGAGATCAAGATGCAAGAACTTCCCGAAGTGGAGAAAATTTCTTTTAATTTATCAACTAATTACATAAACTAAATCCTCAGATAAATCTTGTCCACAAGATGAACTACGGGGTTCATTCGAATATAAAATCCAACCTGGAAATACAGCATCCCACTTTTTTTTTTTTTCTACCCAGGGCTTCAATACATTTCGAAATTGAGAAATTTCTATTGGAGCAGGTGCTATACGAGTAAAATTAGCCGATCTGGAATTGCGACTATAGGCCAAAAGCCGTTTAATGTCATAAATTTAATCCAATCATTATCCGAGCAAACCTTTGGGAGGAGAACACGGGAAGTCACGAGACAATATCAACTTCATACGGAAGAGGCCATTCTCATAGGGAGTTCCCACTGCAATGGCAACAATCATAATTCAGTAATAAGAGTAAACTCCAGCTCAAAGAGATAAATTTCAGTGATGGAGTGATAAATGACATGCCTGGGCCTTCAATGTCAGCATATATTGTCGAGAAGTCATCATCGTTGACGCCTACTTTTATGCCTTCAGGAGGGGATTCGTCGAGGCTCTTCAACTCTTTTGCCAATTGCTTTATAACATTCGGTGGAAGATTTTCATTGGTGGCCTGAAACAAATTGAAAGAAATGCACCGTTAATAGGGAATATCATTAGATGAAATGAGAAACTATTTTTCATGTGATATGATCTAGAATGTCAAAATAAAAACATTTAAGCATCATGGCATGACTATCTTAATTCGACACATTCTACATCAAAACAAGTCATACAACTAAGCATCCAAACCAAGGGATAAAGATGTGAAAAATATACATCCTAATTATTGCTCCTACTCCTGCAACCACTGAAACCAAAGATAAAGGGAATGCCTATTCATTCAAAGAGTAAAATACAGAGCTCTAAATCTCTGGAAGATGATTTCTCAACTCTAAGCATAAGGCTCCCTTAACCCTCCCAAAAAGACTTCGTGCTCAGGCATATATCTACATAAGAATACCTCACCTGGGAAGGGGAGTGGCACATACCAATACCGTATCCAGTGGGGGAAAACAAAGCACGGGTATGCAACTGCTAAATCCAATAACTTCATTCAACAAGAATACCTCCACCGGGGGGGGGGGGGGGGGGGGGGGGGGG